CTAAAAAGATTGAAGTTGCGTGACTTTGACAAAAGAATCTAAACTTTCACGAGCTCGAGATCTTATCATAGACTTTGGGTCTTATCGAGTCATCTTCAACCTTCAAGACATTGCTCCTGTTGAGAATCACACACACAATAGGGACGAGTAGGGAGAGAGACACATGTACCCAAGATGTTTTGTTCACCGAGTTTGGCCTATTACTTTACGTCTCGGCTCAAAGGTGGCTACCATTTGAGACCTAGTGTCTAGATTTTATCTTATTCCAATCTAACTACAAGTTGAGCTCCTTTGGGTGGAACTCAGACCCTTAACAAGAATATATTAATATATCCCTTTCTTTCTTCCTCACAAGAACTAACGTTAAAGAGAGAAACTACACAGCCTCACAATCACTCAACCAATACAGACAGTGAACCTCTATAATTTATGTACCCTATTGCTAATCATAGAGTGTTTGATCTTGATTTGTATAGGATTGCTATAGCACGTTCTGTAAGGTTTTTCTTGTTTCTTCTTTGTATTTATAGTTTCTTAATGCAATGGTCTACTCTTGATCTTTCACTTAATTGTATAGATTCTCAATGCAACGGTCTTCTCTTGATCTTCACTTGTTTATAGGAATGCTTTCCTATAATCATATATCCATATACATGGCAGATTGGCAACTAATGATATAATTTTACCTTTACCAGTTAGGGAAAGATTTTTCCCCAAGCCATTGATTGCAGGGAACTCTACCTTTGTGGCCTTGATTGGGCTAAATGTTATGAGGTTGGAGCCTTGGACAAGAGGGAGGAACGCGATGAAGGTGAAGGAGGCATCTAGGTTTGTCACATTGGATGGGATGATGAAGTCGGAAAGAATGTCTTGGTCGCCAACTGTTGACGATGAGATCATTATGACAAATATAGAGGCTATTATGAGGATTGTCAATAGATTAATTGCATAGGCCTTGTGGTTAGTTGCAAACCATCTTTCTTCAGTAGTCATCATTACTCACTTTGTCGATCGTCTATCGTTGACCCTGTTCACACCTTGATCAATCGTTGACCCTTTTATCGTTTCTGCCAATCGTCGTTCATAGTCCCCATTAATGCTTTTGCTTCTCTTCTCAACAGCTATTACTTTCATCAATTAAACCATCGACCTAATTTCACCCTCAAACTAACAATCGTAAAGAAGTACAACCCAGATTCAATGAACCAGTACCCTAGAAATTGAGGGAAAAGACATTGCCGCGATGGATAATAAGAGTTAATGTACCTGGAATCAATGGAGGATGCAGACCCACACACTCCCCGAAGCTCACCCTTTAATTTTCGATGCCCTCAATTGCCTTATGTCTACTCCCGCTTCCTATCACAGATGTGTTTGTCTTCTTCGGGAGAGAGAGGCGCGAACGAGAATGAGGGAAGAATCTCCATGAGTTTGTCAAAACTCACATGAATGTATATATGAAATATTTTTAAAATTAACAGGGATATGCTTCGAAAAATAAAAATAGCACTTGCCGATACATGGGTGGGGAGGTATTTTCAAATCCGGGACATGCAAAATTCTGAAATCCCACATCGTCGAAATTCCTCATTTTTTTGTACCCTTCTCAAACGAGAGGTTTTGTCCAATTCCAACAAAATAGTGAAATCTCTCATTCAATTCCCTCGTTCAAACAACCCCTTATAAAATTGTGATTCCTTCAATTGCAATAATTACAATTCCACTTGTCACCCTGTTAATTTGACAAATATCTAACTTGTTGGGAGATAATTGACCATTGTGTACTTATCCTTTTTATGGAAAACCAAAAATAATCTTTAGAAATATATTAACTATATTTTTGTAAGCATAATAAACTGTTGTTTCATGGAGAAGAAGATTGTGTGGACAATATTTGAGAAAGAAAATTATTTTATGATGTGTATTCTTGTCTTTGTTTATAATCAATTTTTGAGAAAAAGACAGAAGTAAAATAAAAGTTAGGATAAAGAGATGTTAAAAATGATGGACAAGAAATACAAAATGTTTTAGAACAACTAGCTTGTACCCTGCCCTTTGGGCAGGTGATTTTGGTAAATTTGCCTTTTATTTTTCAATTTGATGCGATTGTTATCATTTTAATAGAAATTCTGAATCTTTCTTATTTATGCAAAATAACAGTTCAACTTATCAAAATGCAAAATGACGGCAAAACATTGATGATTTAAACAAATAATAAAATTATCTGTTAGGTTTATTTAAAGTTACCAGAATTATACTTAATCAAATACAACTCATTTTAATCAAGAAAATCATTTTGTATCCGATAATTTAGGGGAAAAAAACAATTATTTTTCTACCAACAAAAAAGGGGGGGAAAATCTTTGTATCAGAAAAGGGAAAAAGCTCCAATCTTTTGCGTGTCTTCTTCTACCTCTTCCCCACCATCACCACCGACAACATCCCATCCGCTGCCATCTCTTCCCACTGCCATCTTCCCGTTCCTTCTATTCGTCTCCGAAATGGCTAATCCCCATCCCACCACACAAAGCATCGATAGCCCAATCCCTCTTAATTGCTCTCTATCTTACTTCTTATTGGATCGGGCCAATCTCTCGCCTCGTCTCCAAAGGTAGGGACTTGGTCGAACTTTGCGACGCTGAACTCGTCGGATCTTGAGGTTGGGCTAGTATTAAAAATCTTGCTTGAGTATGAGTCGAGTTACAAAATCGAGATCTGGGTTTCTGGGGGCGCCGCCGACACCAGAAGATGGTTGGAGGAAGTTTCGGAATAGGACATGTCATTCAATGTTAAGAAATTACGGATCAAGAGATTTTAGAAGTGAAAGGGACGGGAATGATGAGAAGTGATGCATAAGGGAAATCCATGATCTTATTATCATCGCGAGGATGACTTTTAGAGGGAGAAGAAATTACGGATCTCGATTTTGATTGGCCATGAACGATGAAGGCGCACCCTAAGTGGTAATTATAACGATTGTGGATTGCGGTTTTTGCCGTTACAGTGCAGAGCATTCAAAAAGCTTTAGCATGATCCAAAAAAAATAAAGAAACACGACGATTGGAAGGGAACGGTTTAGACTTTAGGGAAAAGAAAAACTAATAAAAATAAAGAAGCCCGAAAGTTGCGGGGAAGCCAAGGAGGCTGACGTGGATGAGGGGGTTTTGAGAAACCCTTTTATATATTTTATAGATAGATAGATAGATAGATAGATAGATAGATAGATACAATATATATCGCAGAAGAAGGAAGAAAACAATAACAATTTTTGCAACCCTAAAATCTCCCCTATTATCAAATTTCTCATTTATCCAAGCCTCATTTCGAACGAACCCTAAATAAGTGTTCTTAATTATCATATAAAAGATTACGGGTGGATTCCTACTCGGACTTGGGGCATGGATTTGAAACTCAAATCTCACACATCATTTCATGATTTCTTGTTTGTTTAGGAAAAAAGGGATGTCAAACTCGTGGAGCTCATGAATTTGAAATATGTTATTTAAAATTGTGAATCCACGATTTTTGAAAACAATATGTACTGAGGCAGGATATGTTGCAAATCTTCAAATACACTATGAAAAGTGACTCACTAATCCTATAAACACTTAATCATACGGGAAATTCAATTTTGAATCCATACATTTAATTCAACATATTTTATCCTTAAATCCAACAAACAAACAAGTTTTTTCTCTGAGTCCACAAGTATCAAAATCCATCACCAATCCCTCATTTATCAAATTTCAGGAATTTGAGCAAAACTTCTATTTCAAATTCAACCAGCAAACAAACCCTTGGTATAATATTAGGTCTGTAGTCTGTTTCAGGCAGCCTATCTGCTTACTTTAGATGGTTAGTTATGGATGCTGCACCAAAAATGAAGAACTGTAAATTTGGATCAAACAGTAAAGGTTTTAAATCATTGCCTTTTTTTATTCAAAACAAATTATTTCCTTAAAATTGCTCTCAAGTGATGACAAGGAAGAAGGAAAAAAATCCAAATCAATAAAAAAAAAACCAGCAGGCAGTTTGCTTGGATTTTAGCTCATAAAATGTACGAACTCGAAGAATTATTACTCTTAAGCCAAATCAATCCCGTCTACCGCCTGCTTGTTTTGGATCCTCGACCTTTGCCAGCAATATCAAGCAAATAATTATTGTTTGCTCGGATTTATATTATAATTAATCGGACACCATACCAGCCATGAGATGATCATCTTAGGGTGGTTCTTTTGTCGACGGATGCTCTTATTACATTCGTGAAGGAACTGTAAGTAACAAACAGACAGACAGACAAACAAACAAACAAACAAACAAACAAGAGAGAGATAACAACAAGGCGCTACAGCCTACATACATACAACTCCCAACCACCATATGAATACTAATTGTGTTTGAGGATCAGTCTAATTGGAACTTGTAACTAAGTTTTACCATCGAAAACGGTCATCTTAATAATATAATCAAAAGGATCTTCGTTGCAAAAGTTGGAATGAAACTCTACAGCTATGGGCACGACCAGGTCTGCAGTCAGGATTTCACTCAACTGGAACTCGTCAGGGAAAAGATTTTGGAATACATAATATATGCAATCAACCACATCCATCAGACTTCTCCAAATCACCCCTATCCACCACCCATGGAAGTGGAACAGCTCTTCATATTACCATCTACTATAGTAAGGCAGGCTACTATACTATATTATACAATTAGTGGATAAACTTATTACAAGCAATGCAATTCAAATCAAAATTTATTATACAAGTGGCTATGCTCGTGACGTTGTATGTATATTTCTCAACCGTTTCCTGTATGTAACCCGAGCAACGGGGGTGAAGGGTTTCTCGAAGCACTTCCCCGCCAAACCACTGCTACACATGCGGTATTGAAAGGAAATCTCCACAGAAGGTTAGCAGATAGCCACCACAAACATCGAGTGGACTGCAGATGGCAACTTCAATCCTGACAGGGACGGTTGAACTCTGCCGTTCTTAGTCTCATTTCATGCTCTTCCTTTCTTGCTTAATGGCCTCATACGACGTCATTACCTGTTTGAATTTTACTTCAGCAGCCTCTGCAATAAATGGACAGTTAAGTTGGCAACCGATTCAAAAGCTCTGATGCACAGATATGGCAGAAGACCGAGTAGAACCAGAGGAACAAATTGACCTTTGTTAGTTTGATTCTGATCTGGATGGAACTCCTTGGCCTTTTTCCTGAATGCCGTCTGCAAGCACACCAAAAAAGAAAAAGAATCTTCAATACAATCATGCAATTCGCAAATAGAAAGAGCAACACACTTGCAGATGCAAATGGTATAATGTTTTGTTTCAGCACGTATCCACCACAATGATAGAAAAAGCTTCAGGGAATATCATTGCTAGATGATATCAGAGAAGCCAACATATGAGGCGCCAAATCATACACAGTAAGAATTTACTTTGCCCTTCGCATAAACAAGCACAAGGACCACTATTTTCTCAATATCAGTGATTGGACCACATAAAATCCTAGTTACCACAAGTCATCTCTTGTGCATGACAAGACACACAGGCTTCTTAAAGTGATGGGTACTAGAAATATTTAATTGCACAAGGTCATGATGACCTCTACTTGCCAAAGTATCGAATGTGCGGAGTTTGGCCTAGAAGGCCAAGAATAAGCAGAAGCTAACACTAGCTGTAAGAGGGTACAGTGGTTACCTTAATCTCGGCATCTGTATACGCAGTTGTTCTTGACCTGTTGTTAAACAAAAAAGACAATCAGTTTGATAAATTTGTACAAATCTCATTTGTGATGGTAGCGAATATAAAGATACATTAGTTTGGACATTGGATGCATCGCATTTGAAACAGCAAGAGATATACAGGAGGCCCGACTAGATGGAAAAAACAGACGACAGGGTCCCTCAATAATTCCCTCAGAAAAGCAGAAATATACCTGTCAAGCCCCAGAACTGAGTAATGGTGTGACATCATAGGAGGCATGTTGTCTCTTGGAGGTCTCCTAAAGTTATTGTTGCTATGATCCCGGAAAGATGTGTCAGTCTTCCAGTACCAATCATCACGTTGGAAATGCTGATGATATCCTCCTTCAGTTTCCTTCCAGCTCTCGTACCCTCTTCTATGTTTATTTCTCTCACGATTAAACACACTTTGCATACGCCTAATTCGCTCCTGAAAATGAATATTATATAAACGATTACTAGCAAAGATAAGTAACATAAGCAAATAGCTGCCAGATGAAAACAAGAGCAAGTCATTTCAATCAAAATCAAGAGAGGAGAACAAATAACAGTAATATGATGCATACAAGAGAAACATCTTAATGGAACAAATGATAGTGAACTATTGATTCCACGAGGGCTTCTAGAACTTAAGGGATAGTGAGAAACAAGAAAGAATTCAATCATATAACGAACTAGTGCACATTGTCAACTAAAAATGCAGCTCATATGATGTTCAAAGTTGTTGGTAAATCTGGTGGCCATAAAAGGTAGGATACGAAGCAGCCAAACTTCCACAATGAACAAAGATCAAGATCCCTCAATAAACATGAAATATCAATCGTTTCGATAAAATCAACGCCACTGAAGAGTATTGAATGTCATGATATGATGTGCATATCCAAACTCCCTTTACTAAAACAAACTCATATGCAGTAATCTATGGTTCAACATCACCAGTCATGGATGTTGGCAGTGTAGTATTGTTATGTTTCTAACATAAAAAATATATATATAAAGATCATTGGATATGTTATTGAAACTCACAACTCTCTCCATCTCTTCTTCGTATTCTTCTTGCATTCGACGATTATACCTCCTATATGCTTCCTCTTGAAAAGCAGATCGGAAGGAGCCAGCCTTACCTCCTTTAAAAGATGATTGCGATCTCGTTAACTAGCAAGGTGAAATTCACAGACATGATCAGCTCAGTAAAACAGGGTATTTCCAAAAAAACAAACATTCAGAAAGAAAACGCATAAAATGCTTATGATTCTGTTCCACAAACAGAGTTTATTCATCAAAAGATGGACAACAAGATGGAAATAGATTTGTAGCACTCAAATACTATCTTATTGTTGCATCAACCTGGTCTTGATAATTCACAAAATAAGAAAATTCATGAATTTAAATTGTGGGCTGTTCTTGCCCCCACTGAATCGATCAAAGTGAATCAAGCAAAGTCAATAGCCATTCCAAGCTGTTTTGAAGTTATATCTCGAATCACTATAGCACGAAAACACCAAAGTATTAAAGCAACTGGATACCTGCACGTAAAACCAATCAACAGTTCTCCGCAGCTGACTAACCTGCCAGATTGCCACAACCATGAAATTTCAGAGGATAGTAAACTAAAAGTCTCCCAGAAATATATCATTATTTTCACTCAAAATCTACCATACCATAGAAGTTGGGTGCATTCTGGCACCCGTAAAGTTCATGCTTTTACTTTCAAAATCCAATTCACAGCGATAACAGAGCACAAAAAATACCCACATTTAATTAAAAACGGAAAATTATAATGGCTGAAGAACGAAAAAGAGAGAGAGGAACTCACAGCGAAAGTGGTGGCTGTGGCACCAATTACACCAAAGATTAAAATTCCCCAAAGCTTCATGCCCTCCTTTTTCTCCGGATAGCTGCTACCTGGCGGTTTCCGTGAATCGCTCTTCTTCCCATTGGCATCCTCGCCCCCCATGGGTATCAGATTCCGGTAAGTGCTGGATTACCCTCAGAACCCTAGAACTCGGCTAGGGTTTCCTTTTTTCCTGTAAATTCTCTCTCGTCAAGTCTCCTGCTTTATCATTTATCTTCTCCTTCACCTTCACCTTCCTCACCGCCTTTGAAAATCGAGAGGATGACGAGACGCAGATTGATCAAGCAGAACAATTTCCTGTGGAGCTGCCAAGCTTTCCCTTCCTCCCTCCCTCTCCCTCTCTCTCCGAGTCTCTAGAGAATTGCCGGGTAGAAAAATTATTTTAGCCATCTAAATTTTGATGATATTAAACCACCATCACCCAACTTTTCTTTTTGATTGTACACAATCACTCAACTTCAATATATTTCAAATTGAACACTTAACTTGTCTTTACGGTCTGAATCGATCAATTTCTTTTTTATAAAACACTAATTATTAGCCAAACTTTTTCTGCATTCTTTTTTATTAGTGAAACTGAAACCTACTGAATTACTAATAATTAATCAACTGATAACTTTCCGTCAGTGATTTTGTTAGTAATATTGACTTGATAATATGATACTGACTTGTAAGAGACACATGGAGATCAACATTCCAAAAATTAAGTATTTTGACTAAGAAAAAAGTTACAAAATTATTAACTATAATATAAAAATGATAATATTTTAATAAAATAAAAAATATTTGGCTAATTATTAGTAATTCAATAGGTTTGGCTAATAAAAACTAATGTAAAAAAGGTTTAATTAGTGTTTACCCAAATTGAAGTTATTTTTTAAGGTTACCAAATTGAAGTTTCCATGAAAATCATAGTTTGGGAAATTTCAAAAGTGAGGTGAGGAGTATTTATCCAGTCACTTGGCGAAGGTTGAGGTTAGAGTGCTAACACCTAATTGTTAGCATGGTGTTAACAATAATCACATCTAATAAGAAAATTTTCTTTTGATGACTTTTATGTTGAAAGGGTAGACCATATTTTAATGTTGATTTAAAAAGAAGGGCATGCTTGTTGTTCTTAAACTAACTATAAAACTCATAAAGCTTACTACAAGTATTATGAATTAGATCAGAAAACTGAGACCATACTAGAAATACGATAAACCGCACCACAAAACTCATAATGTAGACTAGAATCTCATAAAACATACCTAAAAATGCAATAAGCACATCACAATAATACAAAACTCATTGCAACATAAAACTCATTAAGTAGATCAGAAACGTCATAAAGGTGACCACAAGTTTTCTCAAAACTCATAAAGATGACAAATCACTCCATAAAACTCACAAATAGTAGAAATTTAATGAAGCATACCAGAAAGTCAAAGCTAACCACAAGGTTCATGTAAACAGACAAAAAACTCATAAAGTTGATCATAAGTACCATGAAATAGACTAGTAAACTCATATTAGACGCGAAACACGACAAACCACACCACAAAACTCATAAAGTAGACAAGAAAGTTGGTCAGAAATAGGGGTGTTCAAAAGGTGTAGTTACCGTGGTAACCGTTTTAACTGGTAGTATTTGGATAATTGGTTTGGTTTGGTTAAATTTTTTCGCTTGGTTGGTTTAGGTGTTTTGGTTTAGTTTCAAACACTCCTGACCGATCAAACCAAATTAATTAGTTAAGTAATTAGCCATGTATCTAATATATTATAAGCCTAATACCAAAAAAGGACATATAGTTTAGCCTTTATGTCACTTCTACCCTTATGTTTGTCTTGGGTCACTTGTGTCCCAATGTTTAGTGTCCGTTAACTTTGACTATTAGTTGCCAACGGTCAACGTATTGACCGCTGACATGTCCAATGAGGTGGATTATTTTGCCACGTCATTGAGAAAAAAGTAAAATGAAAAATAATATTTAATTGCATATTTTTTATAAAATAAAGTAAATAATAAAAAATAAAATTCAAAGTGATGTTGTTGTTGAAAATAAAGTTTAATATTAAAATAACAATTAAAATAAGAACACCCTAGAAACTAGTTTACGTGGGTGGCTATTGTAAAAGCTGGTTGCATTATTGTAACAAACTAAATAATGAAAATATGTTAGCCACAATCAAAGTCAGTTAAACCGACATAGGTAGGTTAGCATATTAAATATGGAAACCACCAGAAAGTGTAATGGCGGTGGAAGAGTGGCTGAAATGTAGTATAAATAGAGGGTCTGGAGATGTATCCAAAGAAGCAAAGCAAGAGCAATAAAAGCCTTATTCCCTTCTTCCATAAAAAAACTTTCTGTCGCCTATCCTTCCCTTTCAAATTAGAAAACCCACCAAAAGCCTCATTCCCAAACAAACGTGCCCACTAAAGAATTATAAAGGAAATAGTTTATTTATTTCCAACAAAGTGGTATCAGAGCCCGAGTTATTTCTGAGTATGCTCTGTGGTTGCGGCGTAGTCTGAACTTCCATATCAGAAAAGAATTTCTCGTGCTATTGTCATCACGAATGTCCCATGGCCGAAAATCCACTTTTCCCATTCAATTTCCCCACCTTACCAAAACCAATTACAAAAATTGGTGCATCAGTATGAAAGCCTTGCTAGGATCCTGATGACTCGATATTTGCACATGTTTTCCCCTTTGTTTCTTGATTATTTGAGCTTTAATTATCGCTTATTTGGCCTATTTTACGCTATTTTGTGTTCCTTTGTCACATTTCAGGTCCTAGCACTTAAAGTGAAGCATAGGCGCCAGTTTCAAGTCAATCAGAGATCAATTGGCGATTCGGGAGAAGAAACTCGGGCATGACCTGAAGAAGAATGGATTTATATCTCACTTTATGGACAAATAATCATGCAAGCTTGTCATGAAAAGAAAGAGGATGAGACTATGAGCGTCTGGGATCAAACGGCGACTGATTCGGAGTTCGGACAAGGGAGAAACAAAGCATTGAATATAGGGGAACTGGTTCGGCAGTAAAAACACGGGCAGACTACCCTAAAAACACAGCCGTGTTTTATCTGGCACTCGCTAGTGTTTTTATTGCCGAAGGCGTGTTGTGAGGGCTGCTGGGGGCATAACACGGGCGGGCAAAAGTAAAGCTCGGTCGTGTCCTCGACCGTGTTTTGCCTAGAATCGGGTTTTTGAGGCAGATTGAAGCCAAAGGAAAGGGGGAGCTGGGTTTTGGTTCCCAAACACCCAAGGGACGAACCCTAGAGAGAGAGAAGCAACTTGGGAACATTCTTGGAGCTATTTTGGAGGATTTCTTTGCTATTGGAGCTCGGGAATGAAGCTTTGAGTAGGGGTGGGAAACGGTGCGGTTGCGGTTAACTGCACCGAATAAGCACGGTTAACCGCCACCGCACAAGGGGAAAACCACCCACCGTTACCGCATTGCAAACGGTTTGCGGTTAGTTGCGGTTAACTGCACTTCAAACCGCACACCGCGATAAGAGTTAAACGGTGCAAAAAACCGCAAAATGGAACAAAACCGCATGAAAAAACCGAATTAACCTGTAAAATCCAGCAACATGCACTTGAGAAATTAACACTAAAACAAGTAAATTGCACCTGGAAAAGGAAAAGTCTGAAACATATATAAGTTCTAGACGTCCCAAAGAAACCATCCACATTAAGTTCTAACAATCCCAAATAAAGCATACAACTTAAGTTCTAAACATAAGTCATAAACCATCCAAATTTAGTTTCAACACATAAACTCATAAACTTAAAGTTCAAGCCATACTACGATAGTCTACTTCCCAACTCCCATGTTAGGATGGGTTGGGCACTTGGGCTTGGGCTGGGTATTCCTTTTATGCGGTTAGTTATTCGGTGGGGTTATTTGTTCGGTGCGGTGTGCGGTTAGTCCGCAAACCTCAAAAGGGCCAATTTCACTAACTGTTACCGAATAAAAGCCCTTTTAAATGGTTTGCGGTTAACCACAAACCGCTCTTATTCGGTGCGGTTGCGGTTTAACCGCAAAACCGCAACCGTTTTCCCACCCCTAGCTTTGAGATAGAGATTGAAGATCTAGATCAGATTTCTGCAGTCTCTCTCTTCTCTATCGAGTAACTTCCCTTCACTTAGGTTTTGAGGAACCCTAGTTCCATGTGTTAAGATCTTTCTTGTATGAAGTTTTGGATGCTATATTGTTTGATTATAATCGATTGAGGCATGAATTATAGAGTCAATTGAAGCCTGATCATCTTCTCTTGATTTCTGCTTTAACCTATTATAGATAGAATCTGATTAGGTTAAGAGAGCTTCCTTGATTGATAGTGGTGAATTGGTTGTGCGAGAGTCAATCAATTCACTGCTTTGTACTGGAATTCATTCCAGTAGTGGAGATCTGTGTGAATCGCCTTAGCAGTCTATCCCAGTGAAGGCTAGTCGCCTGCCGGGTATTCTGTCTAGGAGGGTTTGGTCAGCTTAAGAGATTCCAAGCTAATTTAGTATATTTCGCAGTTTAATCAACAGTAGATCAACCAAAGGTAATTGCAACTTGGACCTAATTGAGGAGCTAGGGGGAATCATACCTAAGCGAGTTCCCAACTTGTAATTAGTAGAGTAGTTAGTAGATTAGTTTAGTAAAGTAATCCTTAATCTAGTTTGCTAGATAATGAACTGAAGCTGAGTAATAGTAACTCTAGAGACCCGTGGATTCGATATTTATTACTTGTGCCACTATACTGCAGTCCCTTTCATTGGTTACACTTGGCCATTGTTAGGTATTGTGTTTTAGCGTGTCAAGTTTTTGGCGCCGTTGCCGGGGTCTTTCTAGATTATTAGGAAAGGCAAAAGTTCATTAATTTAGCTTTTCTTTCTGTTGTTTTTCTTTTCCACCCTTGCTTTTCACTCGGGTGTTTTTGTTTTTGTTGGTGCAGATCTGAATCATGGATCCTAATGGCTTCTCCAACCAGTGGGGGTATCCACCACCACCCGAGTGGTATTACCCCGAGACTTCCTGGAGCAATCAAGGAGGAGAAGACTATGGATTCGGGTTTCAGTACCAACCCCCTTACTACGGAGAACAATTAGACCCCTTGG